CGTGCTTTTGAGGTATGTACGTTTGGACCATGCATACATACATACATACCTCTTCTTGTCTAGTTATGTATGTTTCCCCAGACATACATACATACCAGACATTCCTGTCATTTTCTAGGTATGTATGTTTCCCCGGACATACATACATACTGGGTAGGTATGTACCTTTGGACCATGCATACATACATGCATGCCTCTTCTTGTCTCGGTATGTATGTTTCCCCAAACATACATACATACCATACATACCTCTCATTTTCTAGGTATGTATGTTCCCCAGAAACATACATACCCCTGATTTTGAGGTATGTACCTTTGGACCATACATACATACATACATACCTAGACGGGGGGGGAGGCAGGGGATGCCTGCTAGATACCTACTAACCTCCGAAAACAAGGTATGTATGTTGTAGTGGCACCATAGTGGAATAGCAATTGGTGCTTGCACAATGGAAAATTCTGCCGCTTGCTAAATTGATGTTGATTGCGCAAGCCTGTGTGACACCAAAACATTCGCAACCCTGCTCTCCTACTCCTGCAATATCTTACTCTTGCAAGGGAATCATGGACCCGCTGGGCTCCATCCTTGTGGTTTTTGACCCACAAGGCTGCGGTCGGGGAGCCCCTCAGCTACACCATCAGGCTTTCAGATTCCCAGCTGGACGGCTTGGCCAACTTGAAGGCCAATGTGGCAGAGCAGTCGTCGGTGAAACCACATGTGAGTTCGCCGGTGTACACGCACCTTGACTTTCAGAGGTCTTCGGCAGGAAGCAAGAACGTTGAGGAATTCTTGCTGCGGTTCCTGGCATCGGGGCACAAGCTTCTTGATGCCAAAGGTGCCAACACCAGAGCCAAGCCTCAGTTCATTTCAACTCCCTTGTGACACTAGCAACCTTCAAAGGTTAAAGAGTTTCAGCGCGTTTCAGCTATCTTCAATGGTCTTCTATATTCTTCTATGTGAAAGTATGAAATGATGCCATTTGGTTTGTGATGTTGTGTCAAAATACTTGAAGTATCTTGACTGACCTGTCTTGTCTAGCAGTGTTGGCCAATGGCGCCACTCGTCAGTGTTGGAACATGTCCAACAAGTTCAAAAGCATGAAACGTGACAGGACATAGGTAGCACATGGTAGCGCTCTTTACTCTTTGGCATCGATGGCTGGAAGGTCCAATAGGGTATAATTGGACGCAACACCATGCAATATGATGCCATGACATATGATTTCATGCAATGACACATTGTGACACATTGAGAGAGGCAGTGCTGAATAGAACTGAAAACACATGTGTTGACTCTCTCTATGTCTTCTGTTGTCTTCTACTTATCAGGGGCTCCTTCATCATGCTTCCTATGCAGCTTGTTCATTCAGGATCATCGCTGCTGGAGATAATAGTAGCATATATAGTAGCATGATGTAGCATGCACACGCAACAAAAAGAAAGTAATTGCAACAGCTGCCAAGGTAAGGCGTTAAGGCCATGCATGCATCTTCATGCGCGATGATGCGCGTTGCTCTTTGTGACGCGTGCTCAAGAGCAACTACTTGCGGCTGGACATTGCAGAAAATGGGCCCAGAAAATTGTGGATGTGCAATCGGCATGAGCCCACACTTTCCATATGAAATTTGCTGACTCGGCAACCGCCCCCCACTAGAATTGGCTAGCCACTAGACACCCCCCCGGCGATTGATGCTTGGGTAGTTTTTGTTTTCGACACCCCTGATCTTCCGCCATGCGCTGGCGAATAACCTGTTTCGATGAGTAAATTGAGCCGTGGATTGCATTTTCCATTGTCCATTCAAGGAGCAAAATTAGGAGCAAAAGCACCCTGGCAACACCTGTGGTGAAAATTGGATGTGTATTAGAATGGGTGGCCCCTCGAGGATCTCTGGGAAAATCGAAAGCAGACAAAGCCATACAAAATCCATTGGTTGGGAGGCCCCTTTAGATTTCGAACCCAAATGTGTCTTTCTGAAGACTCGGTGGTGTAGCGTGACATTGAGCAAAGCCTAATCTTTCCCACCAGACCTGCCCAGTGAACCCCTTGTCGTGTTGGGGCTGTGTGACACCGTTGTGAAGATCCAACAACGAGTGCTTAGAAAGTGGATCTCAGCTTAAGAATTCTTGAGAACTGGGCGCCCAAAAATTCCCAACGAAGCACGGGCGTCGTGCGTCAGACTCCTGTCCTGTGCGCCTCCTTTGTCACCGTTGAGCAGCAAAAAACCCGGCCAGGTTACTAGGTTTGAGCTAGAAAAACATGGGGCTGGCATATGTACATGGTTGATTTCAGGGGTCAGTGTATTTAGGCAAATGTTCTTTATACATGAAGTGTCTGGGGCAGGACACAATTCATCTTACCCAGACCCTCCGTGAGTCCAAATTCCTCTCTCCTGGTCGGAAACCCCCAGTTTATAGACTCCCCTGAAGATCCGCGTTCCATCCCAAAACCACCCGAAATGTGTGGTGCTGGACCCGGAGTGCACCACCCCACGCCACCCCATCCGGTCCCGTGTTTCATGACTCCGGTCGGTCGACCTCGCCGGTTTTCACGCTCATGGCCGGTCGCTTCGCGAGGAACATTTTTCACTGGATCTTCGACCTCATGGACGTGAAAGAGACCTGCAGGTCGCGACGCTTTTCGGTCGCGACGCGACGGACGAGTGAGGGGGACTGGGACGCTGACTTATTATTTCCAACTGTTGGGAGGAATGGAATCTCCCCAGGATCCCAGGGCATTCCATGGGATTCGATTCTGCAAAACAACATGGTTTTAGCATGTTTGAAACGAAAAACCGTGAGTCCCTCCAGGGGACGCCCTTCCCTCGCCATTCTTGTTTCGTCCGGAGATGGCCCAAGTAGAGGGCTCGACGACCATGCGGTGCTATATGCGTTCTCCTCGCCCTGCGGCCATGGTGTATAGAATCTGGATCCAACTTCACGTACCCTAGACTAGAAAGGGGACGTTTCACAGGGTCAGACTGGTTTTGAGTCCCTTGCCGTGGATATGACGTGGGGCACCGGGCCCCCTACCGTTCGGCACCGGCGCCGGGATGTTTTGTTTGGGCTTCGGAGGGAGAAAAGCCACCCCGCCAGACATTAACATGAATACAGCGCTCAGACCTTCAAGACTTCGGCAATGAAACGTCGTTCTTCGCCAGAAAAGGTGAGGAAAAAGAACTCTCCGGGACTTCCACGACCTGTCTGCGTGGGCCATAATATGTACAGTGTTTTAACACGAAAATGATAGAGTGAAGTCGGGATGCCGCCCGCAAAATATCAAGTTCAAGACCTGGACCCATGGAATCTCACTGGGTTCCCCTGGCTTGCGGGGTGCTGATTGGCTGGTGGGCACGGGGTCTTCACCTTCCAGAGCCCATCGCTCTACCTTGCCATTGTCACTGTGGCTGCACGTGAAAGTTCCTGGGCCCCATCGACAATTCTTTGGGATCCTGATTTTCTTCCTTTTGGTCGCAGCAGCAGTTTTGATTGCTCTGGCTGTCCTCACGAGAATAGGATCCAAGGAAGAGGCCGTGCGACATTCCCCCAAGGGGAAAAAAGGAGCATTCGGAGTCAGCGGAAAAGTACTGAGCTTGACGGGTTGATATGATGCATCCCGGCGATCTTTGTCTAGTGAACTACGGTGAAGTGCCACCGGTTTGGCACGCCAGACTGCTTTTAGCACCGGTCCAAGGCACGACATGGCAGATCTTGACCCCAGACTACGACCGTTACGCTGAACAGATGGATCATCTCAATAGTGATTTCACTGGTTTTGAGTATCTGGGCCACAACATTGTCATTCCTCCTCATATCCCAGCACATCAGGTCTATGGCTTTGCCCCTCTGGCTCCAGGTGTGATGGCCACTCACTTCCACCATGGACGACTTGAGGCCAATGCTGAGAGGGCCAGCCTAGGACTACCACCTCTGCGAGCTGTGCCTTCTCCTGGCGCCCCGGTGCCGCCAGCAGCGCCAGTCCCTCCAGCACCCCCCATGGTGCCTGGAGTGCTTGGTGCAGCGCCTGCCGCCGCAGCTGCAGCCGCTGCTCCAGCGGCAGCAGGGGCCGTAGGAGGTCCTGTCAATGTGTGGGTGGCAATTGAAAACTCAGGGGGTCGGCGAAGAGGAGATGTTATTTGTGTGGAGCCCAACCCTTTACCAGTGGGACATCTTTAGCTTGGTGATAGAGCTCTGTTGCCGGACGTGGGAGGAGGAGCCAATAGTTGTTTTGCAAGAAGGGTTCCACAATTCAAAGTGGAGAACTTTCGGTTGGACGACTTGCGAATCTTGCCCATCAAGTTTGACCCATAGGGCACCGGGAGTTCAATGATGCGGTAGCAAGCATGGTAGATGGTGTGCCCCAAGGGGAGGTCTTCAATTGGAAGGCCCAACTACTGGCCTCAACATCTTGAAGAATCTGAGGGATCAGAACATGACACCCACCACCTTCCATGAGTTCTGGCTTCGTTCTGCAGAGATCCCCAAGGGTGACAGGTCAGTGTATGAACATGAGTGCTTGTCGAGAATCCTTGAAAGTCTCGTGACCATTGACTAGCTCAACGTTTGTGCCTTGCAGGGGGCTGAATTGGTGGCCCGACGTCTTCAGGTCATCCGAGAGGCCCACCGCATCTCGCCGTCAGCTCCGGATTACACGGCAGCAGACGACTTCATGGGGTGGGGCTGGAAGAAGAGCTCGCAAGGGATCGACTCAGCCCTTTCAGCTCACGTGGCGACTGAGCTCAAGAACGAAGCCTCCATTGCCAAAGAAGCTCGAAAGGCAAGAGAAGAAGCAGTTGCACGCCGCCGCAACCCCAAGCAATCTGGGGCCGGCGGCGAGAAGTCATGAGCTCTTACAGTTCCTCTCGCATGGCTGCGGGGCGAGAGGAAGGTCGAAGACAACACGCAGCAGGTCGCCTTGACGGTGGCCAAGTTTTCGATTTTTCAGGCAAGGGGGCTATTCGTTGGCGAGAACTTTTCCCTCTTCCTGGGACCCCGGTGACCGATGTCTGGCCAGGTTCATCAACTTGCATTCGCAGGCGGAAGGCGAGAGTCAGAGACCGGGCACGGGAGGTGAATGAAATAGTGGGCTGTTTGAATGAGATGTACATCCCCCTGAACGTGGTTTTTTGGAGGGCAAGGTGACTGCACCTCAGGAGTCCAGCACACATGCTTTATTCAAACAACTTGCGCGACAAAAGAGACCGGCAAGACTTTGTACACATCCCTCGCCTACTCCGGGGAGGAGAATGCATGTTTGGTCCGATCCTATGAAAGAGACCTAGTTTCACTACCCGCGTGCGGTACACAACCGACCTCGCGGTACGAGGTATTGGACGACATCGGTCGAGAGTTCATTGAGGATCCCTTCAGTGGTATATGATGCTTAGTGAGGATGAGTGGGGAGCTGTGCAAGAAAAACATCAAGGTTTTAGGCCGTACATGGACGATGTGTTGCAGAGTGACCCCGACAAGTATCAACAGTTCGTTCAAGACCTTCATGATCGAGGTATGATTGATTTTTGCAATTCTCCGAAGGACCTCATCACTCCATTCTTTGTGCGTAAGCAAAACAACAAGCAACGCTTCATTCTGGATTGTCGAGGAGTCAATCGTCGATTCCAGCCACAACCTCCCTTGGCGATGGCTGCAGGCAGTGCCTGGGCGAGGGTGGGACTACGACAGGAAGACACTTTGTACATAGCCCAGTCTGACATCAAGGAATATTTCTACTCGCTAGCCCTCCCCGACAACCTGAATAAGTCTTTGTTTTGTTTGCCACCGGTTCCCCACGAGCTGCTTCAGGCTTGGGGGGTGGACTATGACAAACGATGTGAAGCAGCTGAAGGCGGTTGGGTCTGGCCTGGATTGCGGGTTATTCCAATGGGCTGGTCATGGGCTATGTGGTTGTCCCAAAGAGTTCACGCAAATATTTGTCTTCAAGAAACTGGCCTGAGCTTTGAGAGAGTTCTGGTGGATGGCAATCCCTGTCCAGACCTGTCAGGTGGAGAGGTTGCCCTGCTACCGTACGCGGACATTCTCAATGTGCTCGGGATTGACCAGGCTAGGGTTCAAGCAGTCAAGGACAAGATTGTTGGTGGACTCCGAAGGGTTGGTTTCATAGTACATGAGGAGTTGGAGGCATGCAGCATTGCGCAGTCTCTAGGCTTTCTCATTGATGGTAGCAGTGGGGTCGTGACGCCTATTCCGGAAAGGCTGGACAGGGTGGTCAAGACCTTTGCATGGTTGGCCAAGAGGCCAAGGGTCAATGGAAAAGCTTTGGAGAGAGTTTTGGGGCATGCCGCACACTTGTGTATGTTGAGGCGAGAGCTGCTTTCAATTTTTAGGGCTAGCTATGACTTCATTCAGGCTTCCTACAACAAGCGCTGCAAACTATGGGACTCAGTAGCTAAGGAGGCAAAATGGGCTTCACACCTCATGAAACTGTGCTCTGTTAATTTGAGGAGACAATGGAGTTCAGACATTACAGCTTCAGACGCATCTCTGTCAGGCATCTCAGTGAGTCGGCGAGCGCTGGAACCGGCGCGACAGTCTCTCCATGGGGAGCGAAACGAACTATGGAGATACAAAGTCAACACCAAGGTTCATCCTAGGCCTGCTGCCCTGGAGAGCGCACTTGCGCCCCTAGATCCTTTTCGTGATCCACAAACCGTGAAGCCACTGGAGGTGAAAACTAGAGATCCTTTCATGCTGGACCCCGATTTCCCCGAAGTTGATCCAGAAATCATGGAGCAAGAGGCATGGCATGAGGTTTTTTCATCGCAGATGCTTTTACCGGAACACATCACGTTGTTGGAGGGTCGAGGGATAGTTGCTGCAATTCGACACAAGTTGAGAGCATGTTCAGAGTTTGGCAAGCGACATTTGCACTTTGGAGACAATCTAGGGATGATCCTCGCGTGTTGCAAGGGTCGCTCAAGTGCCTATGGCATGCTTAGGTTTAGTAGACGAATTTGCGCTTTGGTGTTGGCCGCTGACATCTCATGGGCATGCAGGTGGGTTCCAAGTGAACTCAACGTGGCAGACAAAGGCTCTCGACGGTGGGAACATTTGAGGCTTGATCGAGATGCTGCGACCGGAAGCCAAAACCAAAAGAAAAAGACCATCGACTCTTTGTGTTACCCCAACTCCGTGGCCAGAACAGGGAGACGGAAAGCTGAGATCGATTGGCTTGATCGACAATGGGAAGAAGAAGAAGGAGCCCGAAGAAGCCTCCACGCCTTCTCAAGACGAAGGAGGAAAAAATCAACTACAGAGAAAAGAAGGTTCAAGAAAGGACAGATGGCCTCCGTTTCAAGAATCAGACAAAATTGGAACGGATGGCCGTGTCAGAACCAGTGGCTCGAGACTATCAGAGAAGAATGGAAGACTTGAGGACCTTCGCATTGAACAGAGGCAAGAAGCTGCAGAAGAAGAACTTAGACGAAACCTGCTGTCTTTATGTGAACAACATCTTCGATCTCGGCTACGACCTTCACGATGCCACAAAAACGTTGGCAGCCGTCATCGATTGCCACCCAGACTTTGGCCCAAAGGAGAAGCTTCCGCAAACTCGGCGGGCCTTGCAAGGATGGCAGAAGATCATATCGAGCCACAAATGACCCGACCACCGCTACCATGGTCGCTGGTGGCCCTCATTGTCACTCACATGATTCACAAGCAGTATCGGCAAGCAGCTGCAGCCGCTTTGCTCATGTTCACTGCATACCTGAGACCAGGCGAGGCCTTGTCCCTTCACGTTCAGGATTTGGTTCCGCCGCTGCCTCAGCAGAAGCACTTTGCCTTGCAGCTCCACCCGGCCGAAAGGCGAGAGCAGTCAAAGGTTGGATCGAGCGACGAAAGCCTCCTGTTGGACGCGCAACAGGCACCGTGGCTGGGAAGAGTTCTTCTGAATCTAGAGAGAGCCAGCCCCTACCTCATCGATCTCACCTACGAGGAGTTAGGAACAGCTTGGCGCAAGACTCTGGAGCGAATTGGATTGGCCCAGCGACATGCTGTGCTGTACCAACTGAGGCACAGCGGACCATCGCACGACCGACTTCTTCGTCTTCGAAGCCTGCTAGAAGTGAAGCAGAGAGGAAGATGGGCGTCGGACAAAACCCTGAATCGGTACGAGGCACATGGCCGCATCAGCCAAGAATTCTTCAATCTGCCACAGCAGATCCAAAACCGGGCGATAGCTGCCGAGCGCCGTCTGCAAGTGGAGGGCCCAAGACTTTTTGGCCTCAGCAGTCCATAGCCTCGGACAAGTCGTCCAAGATGATGATCGAAGTTTTCAGTGGCTGCACGTTTGGCTAAGGTTTTTTCACTTTTTGATTTCACCTCTTTTGCATGGGATCTTGAATACGGGGGAGTAACTGTGATTTGCTCGACCAGAGTGTTTTGCAAACACTAAAGACTTTTTTGAAGAAGCGCCGCAAACGAATTGGCATGGTCTGGTTCGGAACTCCATGCACCTCCTGGTCGCTCGCTCGCCGGAATGATGGAGGGCCACCTTTAAGGGACGATGCTGACTACCTTTGGAGCGGTCTGCCTGGCTTGTCACACCGTGACCAGCAGCGAGCGCAGCAAGGAAACCTGCTTCTCCTGGCTACCGTTGACTTGATTCACTTGTGCAATGAACTTCATTTAGTTTGGGCAATGGAAAACCCCTTTAGCTCTAGGCTGTGGAAAGCCCCACCGGTGCAAGCACTTCTTTCGGACGTTTCGGTGGAGCTTTTGAAAGTTGACTACTGTGCCTATGGCACGCCTTGGCGAAAGTCCACGGGCATCCTAACCAATGCCCCCAATAGGCTCGCGCCAATTTGCAGAATTTGCATGCCTCGCAATGGTAGGTGCCAATACTCTGGACACCGACATTTTTGCTTGACAGGCAAAGATGCATCGGGGATGTGGCTCACTTTAAGAGCTCAGCCTTATCCCAGAGCTTTATGTGAAGCCATTGCTCGCCAATTTGCAAAGCACTACAGAGAGCACTTGTGAGAGTGGATTGGGAGGAAATGCTTTTCGTTCGAACTGGCTGCAGAAGATCTGCAGACATGGCATTCTGTTTAACACCGTTGGCACCACTCGCCACTTGCAAAAAGATGAAGGCGGGCTGTGCTCGGTGTGGCCAACTGGCATGAGATGAAACGTGCCTCATGTAGAGTGTTTTTAACACGAAAATGATAGAGTGAAGTCGGGATGCCGCCCGCAAAATATCAAGTTCAACCTCCTCCTCCGCTCCACCACCTCTCTTGCTCCTACCGGGAGGAAATGCTTTTCGTTCGAACTGGCTGCAGAAGATCTGCAGACATGGCATTCTGTTTGCCTTATATATAATATATATATATGTATATTTGCCCTATAGCCTTCCAAGACAAATGTGGTTGGCCTGCTGTTGCAGTTTAAATTCTAGTAGAACAAGTGTGGTTCGGTACAAAGCATGAAAACCATGGTTGGTCTCACCACATACATATGAGGGCAGCTGCCTTCGATGAGTGGGGGTTTACTCGACAACCCAGATCTTTTGACGAGAGCCAAAGCAGCAACAACACGCCTACAAGAAGCAGAACTACTAGCAGCAAGCAGCACAGAGGAAGAACAGTGGATGCAACTCGCCACAAAATCCTCAAGTACATCCTCATCAACATCACCACTGGCCCAACCGCAACCATATGCTGTCAGCATCAGCGCGAGATGGGCCTTGAGGTCTACGGACAGCTATGCCACAGGCAACGCTGGGAACACGCAGCATCGGCTACCTCATGCGGCTCCTCAAGCCAGTTTTCGATGCCAACAACATTGAGGAGTCCTTCGCAGGGAGTTCGACTTTGCCCGGTACGAACGTGACAACACCAGACCAGGTCGACCAGACCAGGTCAAAAAAGCAGTGCTCATGAATGAGAAAACCTTCACCTCAACCCAGGAACAACAGCAACATATGCCGACATACAAGCGACAATCATGGAATACTACAGAACAAACGCAGCACTCACAAGACTACAACAACAAATAACAACAGACATCTTCGGCCGTCAGCAGCAACTTTGGTGGAGGCGCAGCTGCAATGAACATTGGCAAAGGCAAGTACAACAAAGGAAAGGGCAAAGGAAAAGAGAGATACGCCAACAGCATATGATACAAAGGAAAGGGGTATCAGCAAGGAAAAGGCTACGGCGCATACTGCGCATACAACAAGGGCAAGGGAAAGCACCAACACTGGCAAACAAGCGCCAAAGGAGCAGACAAAGGAAGCTAAGGAAAGGGCAAAGGAGCAAGGACAGGAAAAGGAAAACATTCCACAACAGGATGCTACAGGTGTGGCCAACAAGGTCACTTAGCAAGAGACTGTAGAGTGGCAGTTTGCAACGTGTCAGAGACAAGACAAAAAAGGGGCAGGATGCAACTATGCAGTGGTACACTCAGAGCAACACCACGAGACTACTTGTGGAGCAACGACCAACGACCAAACATCCGGCTATACCATCACAACTGGCATTGCCACCAGCGTCAGAGGCAACACCAACTTTGCACTTTGTCTCAGCAGTGGACCTCACAGTAGCAACCGTTGATGACAGTCGCAACCACAACACCGCCTCACATGCCGAATATGTGGGGCGCCAGACACCGGGGCTCGGGGGCTCACACCCCGGGCCTCGACTGGCAACGCAAGAAACACTACAGGCACAGGAGGACAACAAAGCATAACTTATGATCGACAGCGGCGCAGCCACACATGTTTGTCCAACATGGTTTGCACCAGACACCCCTGTGCACTCTCTAACCAGGGCAGGGCCCACACCTGCGGACAGCAACAGACGAGAACATAGCAGCGCACGGATACAAATGGGTGTACATGCAGAACAAAAATGTAAAGATGCAAACATGGCTTTCCAACACTGGAATTACCGAGGGCCCTTCTGCTCAAGTACAACACAGAGAAAAGGCGTGCGTGAACAACAGAGCTGCCTTGAGTTTTTCAATATATATATATATATTTTTTTTTCTTTGATATACATATATATAAGTCAATAAAAAAATAACAGTATATATATATATGTATATATCGACTATAAGATTCCCTAAGTATATCCCTACCCTCAAATGTGAAGGGTTTTGAGGGTCCGGGCCCCTGTTATGGAGGGCTGCATGCGCTGGAAGATTCTGGTTGTCTTTGTTCATATGTCTACTCATTGGCATGTCCTCCTCCTCCTCCTCCTTCTCTGCCGCCGCTCAGCCCCACCTCCGCGATCTTCGGACAGCGGCGAACACGCCGAGCGGTCCAGGTTTGACGATACGGGCGGAAAAATCATCTCCAATGGCACCTGGAAGCAGGACGACTGCGGGGCGCTTGTACCGCCGCGAAAACGCATCATTCCTGGGTTGCAAATAGGTGCGCTTTTCACTTTTTGCCGCAGCCATTTCCATCGAACGTCAGTCGCTACGAAACGGGTTTCCGAAGTGCTGGACTGCAGCGCAGCGAAGCGACCCAACCGAAGCCACTGACAGAGGCAAGTTGAGCAACTTCCGAACATTCTAATTAGTAGGAGTGGTTTCAGCATGGGAGGCTGGAGAAGCTGACAGCAGAGTATGGGGCACCTATGAACCACCATCGTGTTCCCCAACATCTTCGGACGGGGGAGTTTGTCCCGCAACGCCTACACTTATACTGTAGGTGGCTCAGATCCGCGTCGAGCATGCAGCCAGCCCATCATCTACCCATGTGAGCTCCTTGATGGTCCACCAACAACTTCAACAACACTCAACTCAAAAGTAGCCTCCTCGTGAGTACTGGTGTCGGATGTACGGACCTCGCTGCATGGATTGGTTTCCCTCGGAATGGCTGGGAAGTGGGCCAGGCTTTTGCAACCTTATCCAGGTCCTGGGGTTTGAGTTCACCATCCAAAAAGTTGTATACCTGAATCTGCCCCTGTAAAATGCTATCGTAATGGCCTATCAAAGGTCCAAGACCGAACCGGTTCTGGTGAACATGACTCACACACTACCAGGAACCTATGGAAGGACTCAGCTCAGAAACACGGCAGGCTTTCAGTTGTGACTCGGTCGTGCGTGGATGCCATGCCGTCGGGGCGGTGGTGCAGATGCTGAGGCAAGAGTGTTGGTGGAAGCTCGCTGAAGCTTTCATCTGAGCAGTTGCCTGCTCAAGCCCGGGAATGATAGGGCTTGCCTGCTCACACGGCAGGTTGGAGACAACCCCAGCCAAACTTACAAACCTGGAGAGAAAATTCCTTGGGAGAAAATGTTGCTGCGTAGATATCTTCTGGATTCCGTGTTGCTGATGTATTCAGACAATAGCCTGGTGATTTGCATTATTTTGCGTTCATTTTTCAATATCGGTCAAAGCTGTTCTGTTTTGAATCTTGACAGGCCGCAGCCTCTCATCACCTCGCGCTCAATTTGATCGATTGAAGCCAAACATGCAAACAATTGAGCTTCAACACTGCCCACCACGCACCGGAATCGTTGAGCAGAGCCCGGCCAAAGCGCACCATCAGCGCAGCGCTCCACTGCGCAGCCGAAGCTGACTTTCAAGACGCACGCAGCGACATCTGATCCAAGCTCGTCACCGGAATGCCGTGGAGCGCCCTGAACGGTTGGATTACCAAGGTTCAGATAGAACATTTTAGATCAATGCGACCCACAGAATCAGAACTGTTTTGCAATTGCCAGAAATTTTCACAGTGTCTGTGGCCATGCGCTATAGCTCTGGCAGGACCGGGGGGAATATCAATCTGGCTGGTTCTCCTGCTCCCACATCCACCCACCCAGGGACTTGTTTGAAGCTTGGCCGGGCCTTAGCTGCAAAATGCATCGAACCCGGAGGCGACGGTCCGAACGTCATTGACATGGCTATGCGCAGCCCACCTTCAGACAATCAGTCTCGCAGCTGAGCCTGCATTGACTGTCTAAAAAAAGATCGATCGAGCTAATCGAAAACGCTGAGGCAGTATATTCCTGGCGCTTGCAATCCAGCTAAAGTCTTTCGGGCCTCAACGCACAATGTCATTTGAGGGAACTTCACCATTTCTCGAAGCCTACTGCAGCATTTTGTCTTATGGCATCCGTTTCAGGTTTTGTTTCCAGCTTTGTGCTACCGATGTTGCAGCGGAAGGTGCGCCTGATGGTGCCATGCTTGCTTGTTGCGCTTGGGCAAATCAATGTGGATATAGAGGTTTGCCCTGTTTTCCTGGCATGTTAGTGAAAATACAGAAGCCGGTTCAAACGCCAATGTGCCACCCGCCAGCCACGCATCCAGCGCACAGCTTTGGCGCATTGGCCCGCAGCGGATCACCGCCAACCTGCCGCCTTTTATCCGGGAAACGACCCACATGTTTGAACGCCAGAACCAAGCGAAAGGTGGTATGGTCGTTCCTTTTGGCAATTGATCGAGATCCTGGCATCTTCTCGAAATGGCTTGGACAATCTTGGACTGATCCGTTTGTAGCAATGTTAATAGACCCTTGTTCAACCCGTAGAAAGTTCAAGCCTTGCAAACTCCCATCCACCAGCTGTCACCACCTTGTCGTCCGCTGCGAAAAAATCAAGACACTTTGGCACTAGCGCCGCTCGCTCTGACGCATGCTTCACTTGCATATACTTGCATTCTCCGCGGCTATCAGCCGTAGACCTCGGCATCGACTTATGTGGGAGACGAGCCCACAAAACTTGAAAGGCGCAGAACAAGTGCTCCAAGGGCATTTGTTGCAAGTAGGGGAGCTGTGCCTGAACTGACAAAACCCGTTTTTGCACCACAAATACTAGACGGTTACAGCAGATGGGTGGAGAAAATTTTTTTTTCGTAGTAGTCGAATTTGCAACCCAGATTCCGACATCGCGTGTTTTTTCGGCGTGAAGCGCGGCGTGAGTTCCCCCACTCTCACTCGCCCTCACTCACCCTCACTCATTCTCACACACCCTCACTCACCCACTCACACTCACTCACGCTGACTCACCCTCACTCACTCAATCTCACTCTCACTCACCCTCACTTTGGCTTGGCGAGGTTCAGTGTTCAAATTCGTCCAAGCACGGGTTAGATCCCATATACCTGGGGAATCCGGGGGGGTATGTTCTTTGCAGGCTTCCTTCGTTCACCGCAAATCACGGCTTTTTCAAGTCTTGGTGAAGTGAACACAGTCCACTGAGTTCGCCAAATTGAGGTAGCAAATTCCGACATCCCATATGTCAGGAACGAGTTTCTATGGCACCCAAGGCGCCCCAGCCCTTCCTTTTTAACAGCTGCCACGGATGGTGAATCCTGAAGCCTCGATGCCATCTCTCACTCTGTCAGAACTGCCCTGATGTCGATCATCCGGTGAACGTCCGCTTCCATAACCACATCAGCTCTCCCATCATCGAGAGCATCCGTGCCGAAACCGCCAAGAAGGGTGGCTTCAAGGGAGTCCCTTGGAGGCACCAGGATCATCGACATGGGTGTCCTGTTCGACTACCCTACTTACAAGCTTACAGGTCTCCAGACAGGGCACCCGGACAGGAAATGCTAGGAAATTGAAAACTGTCCACCTCCGCAAGAGGTCGGAGAAACCTGGTCCGGACGACCTGGCTGGCAGGGCGCCCTTTTCAAACGCCGCCCGATGAAATGAGGTCCGAACGCCCGGGTCGACGGCTACTGGCACCCGACTCTACAGGTCTTCGAAATGGTGGTTTCTGGTGGCGTGTAAGACCTGTAGGACATGAATGTACTTAGATCTTCCAACTGTGCAACATTGATGCCGTTTGGTTGATTTAATCGATGAAAAGGCAGAAATGACCTGCACGTCGTTGGAAGATCCAGGTATTACCATGGAGCGTGGGAGGGTCGCCCACCAGCCGCGAACGAGGTCCCAACAGAGAAAGGTATTCTGGTGCCATGACCCACCGCGTAGATGTCCAATACCCAGACGGTGACCCGAACGAGGCAAATTCCCCCAAACCGCTCCTGCTGCATGTGGGTGAAGGCTCCATTTTCACTCTCCTTGCTTTCAGGTCATTTCACCCGGACCGCGATCGGGGAACGGGTCCGGCCACTGAGCCTTTGGGTACAATAAATATCATTGTCAGTTCATGGAAGTAAAGGGTTTCTGTTCATATGACATGATAGAATCCAGTGTAAGTTCAACATGATGGGTCACTTGGTATCAGACACACAGTGGCATGTACACGTACTGCGCACCAGGCCCAAACCGAGCGCGCGAAATAGAGTGCGCCACTTTTCATGGTAGCGGAGCTCTACCGGGCAGCCCCCGGTATCTCCAGGGAATCCCTTTTGGGGTGATCTTTGCGGGATAGGAAGGTCCACCTGAAACCCCCGGGTGGATACGACTGGTTGGGGTCCCGCCATGGCATTGGATGGACCTGGCTTGGAGCAAGCCACTGGTGGAGATGGTGGATTGGCAGCCGCAGCGGCCAGTGCTTCGACTGGAGTGCAAGGGTTGGTTCAATCCCTTCATGGTTTGATAGAAGTTCAAAAGAGCTCAGGGTTCACAAAGCACTTGAGGCCTCCAACAAGTTTTCAACCAGAAAACAGAAGGGAAGAGCTCAGCAAAAGGATGGACTGGAGGTTCCAATTCAAAACGTTCGTGGGAGCCGTCGATGCGAGCATGCTCAGCCACATGAAACAGGCTGAACGAGAAGAGAACCCAATCAATGATGCTCTCCCACAGATTCGAGCCCAATCCGAGAGGTTGTACTCGCTCCTCACTGGCCTGATGAAACAAAGGCCACTCAGGCTCGTTCGAGGAGTGACCAATCAGAACGGCCTTGAAGCTTGAAGGATCCTGACTAAGGATTTGCAGCCCAGGGCTCGCCAGCGAAGCTTAGCACTGGTTCAAGCTCTCAATAAGGTCCAGTTTGATGCAACCAAGTCCGTGACCGAGCAACTCCCCCAGTATGACCTCCTGGTTCGTGAGTACGAGAGAAGTTCACAGACCACCTATCCAGATGATTTGAAGATAGCTTCAGTGGTGGCAGCCCTACCTCCTAGCCTCAGGATCCACATACAGATGGCACTACAGGACGACACCACCTTCGAGGACGTGAGACAGAGGATCACGAACAAGTCAGCCAACGATGGGTGTCTGAAGGTGGATTGCAGCTGTCTGTACGACCTATGGCTGAAGTGGAGGACAAGGGTGGACCGATGGAGGTGGATGCGGTTTGGTCGAAGAATGGTGGAAAGAAAGGAGGCAAGAAAGGAGGGAAGAAAGGAAAAGAGAAAGGCAAGCAACAGAAAGGAAAGGGCAGCTGGTCCAAAGATGGAGGAAAGAAAGGCAAAGGAGGAAAGCCTTTTGGCAAAAGCGATGGAAAGAAGGGCAAAGGCATGGGTACATGCCACAACTGTGGCAAACCAGGCCACTATGCCAAGGACTGTTGGTCCAAGAAGGTGAGACGAGTTGAAGAAGAAGTACAAGAAGCAAAAGGGTCAGCAACTGTGACAACAAAAGATGGCCAGACCACGGCGTCAACTGGCAGCTCAGCCCACGCCGGAGAACGTTCGTCGACTGCGGGAGTCAGGCGGGTCAGACTGGTCACGCCGACGGGATTGGCCACCATGGAGATTTTTGATCTCACTCAGGACGACTCCAATGAGGAGCAGCAGGGATTCGAGTCAGAAGAGGAGAACTCGAAGCTGACCATTTTTGCAGTGACAGAGATTGTCGAGACCTACGAGGCAACGAATGACGAGGAGATCTTCTATGACTGTTGTGATGGTTTGGAAGATGAGTCCAAGACTTCATCTATGGAAGAGACAGATGCCCAGACCTCAGAAAGCAAAGATGGTGAACATGCAAGGACAACAGATGAAACCATGAAGATTTGCATGATCAAGAACGTGGTTGCCTTGGAAGTTCCCTCCGTCATCATGACGATTGACTCCGGGGCAGATGTATCAGTAGCCCCTGAGCGTTTCTACAATCTGGGAGCGCCAGGTGCAGGCAAACCCATCGAGATGATAGACGCTCAAGGAGCAAAGATTTGTAGCAAGGGAAACCGCCGGCTACGACTACAGGCACAGACCCGAGATGGTGATGTGATCGAATTCATTGCAGTTTGCGTTGGGCGTTGGTGTGACTCACCCACTTTTGAGCTTTGGACGTCTCCTGAAGCAAGGTTGGGGACTTTCCAAAGATGATCATGGTCTTTTCCTTGAACACCCAGAAAGGACTGTGAAGATTCCTGCGCGGTTGGAACGGAATTCACTCGTTATGGATGTGAAGATTTGTGCAGTTCGAGCTGAAGGTGATGAACAAGATGAACTACAAGTCAATGCAGTGAATGATGGACAAGGAGATGCCGCTGAAGGTGGTGTTGACACTCAGCCACCAGATGAAGCAGCCACAGCAGCATGTGAGAAAGGTGACAATGATGATGATGTGACATTGGAACTGATGCAGCAGTTGGCAGAAGAAGGTGAGCCTGGTCAAGATGAAGTTTGTGAACGTTCACCAGGCTATGCGACAGAGGAGTCCGGTGACATTGAAGTGAGAGGCAGCAGCAGTGAAGATGGTCGAGTGAAAGAGAAACTGGCTCGTTGGGAAAAGTGGCATTTCAAGCTCAAGGAGGTGAAGAAAGAACCAGTTGAGCTATCAAGCCCCGAGGAACAAGTCAGACCAGGCAACTACGTGGCTACATCTCACGTGAGTTGGGACTGCTTGAAAGGATTCCTGGATGGCACGCTTTGCCGAATGGGATCGTGGTTCACTCGAAGCCAATGGCCTCACACTTCCACGACCCGAGTTCAAGCTTTGGAGATGAATGGTGTGGTCGACTGACATTGGCCAAAATGACTGATGGAAGCGATGAATGGGAGCAATTGGAGAACCTGGCCAACTACAAGGACACTCCGTTGCCTTTCCGACCATTGCCTCATGGGCCAAGATCGACTCTGACCTTTGTGGCCAGGTTTGATCAAGGACTACTTCGTTGTCAACTCGGAGGTCCCGGTCAGCCAATATCCACTTCTCAATGGAGAGCCAGCATCATGGCCTGAAGATGATCAAGAAGATCGAGAAGGTGGTGCAGTGCCATGGTTAGCAGCTGGAGGTGGAGAGAGACCTGAGATTGTTGAGGATGTGCATTTTGTTGATCCTGATGAACTTGAGGTCAACATCGATGAACTGACCTTCAACAAGGACAACAAGTTGAAGGAGCTCCAGGATATGTGCAAGAAGCTTGGGTTACCTGCCTCAGGGTCGAAGGTGAAAGTGCTGAAGCGCTTGAAACAGTACAAGCACCACGAGGAGGAGAAGATTGCATACGAGATCTCAACGTCTCTTCAGCGAGCAACGTAGGGAGGCAATCCCTGTGAAGACACCAAAGCTGCCGACCAAGCATGAACAAGAGCTTCATCAACTCACACATCTGCCATTCCAGGCATGGTGTCAACAATGTGTGGCCACAAGGGCAAAGGAAGACATAAGGACAGATGCTGACAGTGCAGATCGAAAAGATCGAGGCCGCAACGTGATCAGCTTTGACCACGGCTACACGTACACCTCCGGGACAGCCGAAGAGAAACAACGGGGCACTGCACTCTATGTGGCTGAGTCTGAATCCAAGGCAGTGTTGTGCATACCTGTTCAAGCAAAGGGCAGCATCTCACTCAGACAAGTTACAGAAGAGTTGACCCGCTTCAGTATGCAGGTGTGCAACACTCAGCCCATCGTGTTTCAGTCGGACGGGGAACGTGCAACAAGACAAATACTCAGAGCAGTACAACATGCCCGAGCAACAATCGGATTGACAACGGAAATCCGAACAACCTCCAGAGAACAACATGCAAGCAATGGACAAGCTGAGAGGACAGTCCAATCTGTTCGAAAGCTAGCAAACACGTTACGGAGTTTCGCGGAGGAGAAGCGGGCATCAAGATCACTGGTGATATGCACTGCACTGCTATCCATGGAGTTTTCGGCATGCAGCATGGTTGATGGTGAGATACCGTGTGATCAATGGTTGCACTTCCTTTGAGGCCCTGACAGACAGGAAGTACAATGGCAAAGTGGCATTGTGGGGCGAAACAGTTTTGTTTAAAGATGTCACTGCCTTCCGCAACAAGGGAGATCCTGTTTACAGAAAAGGGCTTTGGATGGGCAAGAGTGCATGGAGTGACAGCCACATCTGCTTGACCCGTTCAGGTGCAGTGGAAGCTCGATCAATTCGACGCCTTCCTGATCAATTTGATGGACAGATGCTGGTGAACAGCAAAGGCCTGCCTTGGCAATACTCCATCCAAGGCATTCTGATGAAGTCCCGTTTTGCAGCACGACAACGACAAGCCGAAGCAGTTGAAGATGCTGAAGGAAATGAGACAATTGAGCATGAGGCCAAGTCTGTGGGTGAAGAAGTGGCAACGGGCATGTATGGTCAGGGTCCAGTGCTTGGTCAGGTGACACCAGGCTTTCCAGTTGAAGGTCCCAGAACACCAGGGATAACTCCTAAACCAGCCACACCAGCACCCAAGACACCAGCAAGACCTGCAACAGCACCAGCAACACCGGCCGTGGCAAGACAGACGTGGCGCGAGAAAGCAAAAGCCAGACCATTCCCTACAACAGCCGAAGATGAGAGTCCATCAAAGAAGATCAGCAGACTCCCAATTCCAGAGTCGATGAAAGGTGAACCTGCACGAAATTTCATGCAGGATTCAGAGACTGTGAGCCCTAAGCGCCAAAAGGCAGCAGAAGCATCAATGCCAGCAGCCTCAGCTGAAATTGGGAAGACAACACCAGGAAGCAGTTCAACGGCAACATTGCCGCAAGGAGCATTGAAGAGAGAGCTATTCTCACTGCCCTGGGATGCTGAAGATGATGAGAGGCTTCGAATGAGTCCCAAGAAGAAAGTGAGAGCCATCCAAGAGGAGTTCCCAGGAGGTGATGACATGCTGGCAGAAGAGATTCTGCAGTCAGCATTGAATGATGTAAGTGAAGATGAAGAGGGTGATGGTCATGCAAAAGATCGGCCTCCAGAAGTCTCAGATGAGGAGCTTGCAGCCCTTGATGAAGAAGCCTGCCGCCGTGAAGAACACCGCCTAGAGCAGATGGGTGTGTTAGAGAAGATGAAGAGTGATGAGCCAGATGAAGAAGGCTCGTATGTCCTCACCAGCAAGATGGCGATCGCCTGGAAATTCCGGGATGAGCAGGGCGGATGGTTCAGGCGAGCCAGATTGGTTGGACGACAGTTCAAATGGAGCGTTTTCACTGAGGATTCATTTGCTCCAACCTCGGCTTCAGTGGTGGTCAGAATGTTGCTGCGTCTACAAATGCAGACAGGATTAGCTCTCTATACTCTGGACGCCAAAGATGCCTTTTTGCTCATGGACCAACCAGCTGATGAAGGCCATGATTGTGACCAGCAACGGCAAATACAAGTTGAAGAAGAACTTGCCTGGCCAGAGAAATGCAGCTGCACAAGGGTTCAAAGGATTCTGCGCAGTGGCCAGGGACTATGGCATGGTGCAGGACGTCATGCAGCCGACCATGATGAAGAGAGAGAAGAAGGCCAATGATGAGGCCAGTGGTCGCCTTTTCCTCACCATCCATGTTGATGAGCTGCTGTTGATTGGTGATGAACAGGAAGTTGAGCGCTTCATCAAGTACATGGAGCAGAAGTCTTGGAAGGTAGAGAAACGTAGTCCATTGTACCAAGGCAACTTCAGCTACCTCAAGCGCAACATGGAGATGACAGAGAATGGCATCATCATTCGTCCAGACAAGGAGCGCATCAAGGCATTGGCCAAGGTGACCAACGTGGAGAATCGGAAATTCCGGACCACTCCGGGAGGTGGCGCCTTCGCGAAGTTGAGTAAAGATGATGAACCAATGGCAGCTGAAGATGTGACAAAATACAGGAGTGCTGTTGGCAAAATCCTGTACATTGCCCCAGATCGCCCTGACATTCAATTTGTTGCTCAGGGATTAGCAAGTTTGATGCAGCGGCCGACCAAGAAGGCATGGAGGGCAATGCAACATGTGAGTTCCTATTTGTTGGGGACCATTGACGAAGGCATTTTGCTAGAGCATGGTCCCAAACGAAGAAGTGTCCTGAATGTCAATGAGGACATGCATGAATGGGAAGATGACTCCAAGGCCAATTTGCTCGAGGTGATCTGCGACGCTGACTACGCAGGACAACAGGCCACAAGAAAGTCAGTGAGCTCAGTGCAGCTGTACCTGAATGGAGGATTGATGGAATCCTATGTCAGATGCATAGCACTTTCCTCTGGCGAGAGTGAATATGTGGCCATGGTTGGAGGATGCAGCGAAGGACTTTTCCTCAAGCATTGCTGGTCCTTCTTGACTGGAGAGGAGATCAACATGGTTTGCAGAAGTGATTCTTCAGCAGCCCCAGCGTTGGCAGGTCGGATTGGAGTCGGACGAACTCGACACATTGCAGCTGGACTTTTGTGGTTGCAGGAGAAGACGAATGCCAAGGAGTTGAGGATCACCGGAGTGCCTACGGCCATCAACGTGAGTGATATCGGCGCGAAGATCTTGAGCAAAGCCCGCGTGAAAGGCTTGAAGTTCCTCATCAAGATGGTAGATGGGGACAATGAGAAGATTGGCAAACAGGAATTCGAAGAGATTCATGCCAAGGAAGAGTTGAAGAAGAACACCGGCAAGCTGGCAAAGGCAGTCGGAGGAAATGCAAGGATTGCTTTGATCCTAGCTTTGAGCATTTGTCGGGGCCTTGAGCTTGGCAAGATGGCTATGGGAGAAAGGAAGACAGTGGTTCAATGGAAGACGAGTTCACAATGGTGGAACTGCAGCCAGCCGAGAGCCAGGAGAAGAAGAACAACCAGAGCAGCCGCAAGAAGAGACTGACATTGACAAGGTGAATATGCAGTGGAGGATCATCCACTTGGAAGTGGCCATTGCAGAAAAAGATGAGTACTTGAAGGAGATGACTGAAGAGAAAGACAGGATGATGAATGAGTACCTGAGGTTCGCTGACATGAACGTCAACCTCAGGGGGCAGCTTGAAGAACTACGGCAAGAGAATGCCGAACTGCACGGTCGTCTCCAGCGACGAAGTGGAGACCAAGATGACAAGGTGATGGAGATCACCAGGCTGGAAGAAGAGTTGAAGCTGTGCCAAGAGAGCATGGCATTGTGGAAGAAAAGAGTCGAAGAAGCCACCAACGAATGCAATGGAAAGGTGAAAGAGCACCTTGATGGAGTGAAATTTGTGATGGATCACCCAAACGGGTGAGTGCTACCATGCTCAAGACTGCCACTACATAGCCAATCGAGCTATGCGGCAGATCAAACCATGCAGCCATTGTGTGTCAGAAACCATGAGGGCCGTGATAGAATCCAGTGTAAGTTCAACATGATGGGTCACTTGGTATCAGACACACAGTGGCATGTACACGTACTGCGCACCAGGCCCAAACCGAGCACGCAAAATCCAGTGCACCGCTCATGATATGTATTTGGATCTCGAGGAGTAATTGAATCAGTGATAGAGGTCTTTGTGATGGTGATTGTTGAAAAACCTCATTGCCAGGAGTCACAAGATACTGGCCCCGATTATCCACTCACTGGATGGGACTAAAAACCATCCCGAGCTCTGTGACTCCACACAAGTCCTTTCAGACCTTACTACAGATCTCAAAGGGAGAGCTTCAGGTGATCTCTCGCACAGAACTGAGGTGATGACCATTCGAAACCCGTTGGAGATGGTCGTCTCCTCCTATTGCTGCATGGGAAAAAGCTCGCGAGATCGTTTGACCTTCCCAGACACTCCATGGCCAAAACAGCCGAGGAGGGATCATGACCCTTAGGGGTTTCCTAATTTTTTGGAGCGGTTGAACAGGGGTCAATGCAGGCAACCTCTGCCACCGACGACAGCAGCACCGTGAAAACTGTGTGTTTCGTTCTGGGAGTCATCGGCGTGGTGAAGCATCTTTGTTCCTAAACACGTTCTGGTTACCCTTTTACCGGTGTTCCTTTAGAATGCAACAGGACCAAGCAACCAGAGAGAGCACCGGAAAGGGCACGTTTTCCACACGTCCGCTGGTGCTCCTTCCAACGAGGAGGTCGATTTCCATCGAGGCCGCAACGAAGGTCACACCGTCGACGAGGTCCCCGAAGGAGGGGTCCAAACGTTCCGCCTGGACTCTCCAGAACATGTGGCATCCAAGAGTCCATCGAGGTCCACTACCAGGACCCCCAAGAGTTGGGTGGTCGACACCCCTAGCCTCACAGCTCGTTGGGGCGAACAAACTAGACACCCCGGACGCCTGGAGGGTCCTGGTCTACACCTCCGGACCGGCCTTTGGGGTTATTACCCGTCGCACCGGTTCCGGCTCGACGGACGGTGAGACGAGACGAGGACGAGTGAGTCCAAACACGACACGACACGTCCAGAGGTAGCCAGTGACCTGAACTAGGACCCGTCACCAGGGGTACCTAGCTATAGGATCGTCGAACGTTCGGGTTCTGAAGAACCTCTGGGATCTGGGATTGGCCGAGAAAAGGCCCAGCGGGTGGTTGATTGATTTCAGGGCATGGGGCGGCCAGTCCCATGCCAGTACAGGAAGACCCCCGCGGAATGCGAACGACTCAGGACCTCGCGACGTGTTCAGCTCTCGCCGGCGTTCGGTCAGGGGGGAGAAAACGGACCTCCCTTCAGGACCGCGGATCGCCGTGGATCGCCCCCAGGCTACCACCATCGCGGCGCTGAACCTTGGAACGCCTTGGGTGATAACATGACGGACCTGGCCCCCAAGGCGGCCTGCGCGCCTAACGCAACGGTCGGGACGAGGAAAGGGACGGTCCCTAAGGATCCGTTTTCGTACCTTCTCAGGTGATTGGAGACATTCTTATGTAGGTTTTGAGGGTCCAAGTACCTTCTGAGAAGGTACTTGGATCCCTATAGGAGTGATGTTGGGTGGTTTTCCTCTGAATCCGGGCTCCTTCACCCAGAGATTTTTCGGGTTTGGGAACCCCGTTTTTCCCCCGGAGAAGGTCCGACCCTGGGCCCGTAAGGATTCTTGGGGTGCTTTTGGGTTTAGTGCTTAAGAGTGGGTCTGGCTGCTGTTGATCTTGATCGCTTGGTTTTTCCGTTTTGGAAGATCTGCTGTGAAACACGTCTTGAAGTCTTAAAGCAGCCCATTGTGAGAATTGATATTAAGTGGAAGAGAAAAAAGATGAATTGGAGGTGGCAGCCCTAAAATAGAGTTCTTTCACCATATGTACCATGACATCATTGCCGCACCAAATGCGTTTTGATACTACCTTGAGTGAAGCGTTTGCGCTGTTTCTGCCAGGGTACTCAATCCACCTTGTTGCCCTCATGTTTGCCCCCATGTTCTATGAGTCCAGTGAGCTCCAGATCCCTTCCAGCCGGCGCGTCAGCCGCGCGCGCCCCGCCGTTCGCCTTTCACCATCTTTCACCCTCCACCCAACCAGCCATCCAGCAGCTCGGCAGGAAGGCGTGCCCGAAATGGCCCGCCGGATGCTGTTGACCGTGAGGAACATGACACATGCCTTCCAGGCGGACACGTCACCACGTCACCACGGTTACGTGTGTGAAAGCCTTCCCCCTGAGGAAACGCGGCCCTGAGCAATGGGTTGGAAGTCTTAGACTTCCAAGACGATTGCAAATGGGACAGACCTGGTTTTGTAAAATCCTTGGTAAACGGTTGTTCGGTAAAGCCTATCAAATCCTACAGGTTTGGCTTCGACCTTAGCTCTGGAGGGTGATGAACATTCGTGGTGAGGTGCAGTGTTTAGATCTGTTTAGGGGAAGTAGCACGGAGTGTGTGGGACATGGTGACGCGCAGTACTTCTCGTGATGGTGCAGTGTCTTTTTGGAGAGATTCGCAATCTCCAAAGTTACTGCAATGCAATCTTCTTGGTGAGGGAGTTGCATCGTTCTTCCAGGTCATCGTAAACCTCAAACACAAGATGTTTAATTTAAAGCCAACTTCGATCTGATGCACTGTTTCCACAAAGGATCATTGAGCTGCTGGATCTAATTCGGACAGCCGATTCGGTGCAGAGATGGCGACCTTTGCCCACACCCCATGCCTTTTCTCGTCGATGTTCATGGGGAGCCCAGAGTGACTTATGCCCAAATTCTGAGTGGTATAGGTTCCTTCAGCCATGAGGTGCAACACATGTAGATATCTATATACCAAGCTGCTGCTGTCAAAGTGTGAAGAGGCGCAACCGTTTCCGGGTGTCTTCTGCACAACATACAAAAAATATGATGGGCATACACTTCTTCAGGGCACCATCCAAGGAGCTCTTCCGTGGTTTGATGATGGCTTGCACAAAGTTGCCATCATGTTGTGGTCGAGGAGCTGGCAGATCGATCAGCTCGTGGAAGCTGCCGCGAAGCTTCGTAGAGTTCGCACTTTCTGCATAGGGGTTGGTGCTTAGGCCTGTGTGCCTGGTACAACACGAGTCACCTCTCACTCGTGATGTTCGGTGCGCGTGGTGATATATACAAATATATACTATTTGCATGTGGGGCTTGTGTAGTATAATTGGTTGACTTGCAACTATGTACGGATTCAAGGGTCAAGATTGAGGGGAACAAAGAATGTTCTTCAAGATTCAAGGTTGCTGGAAGTATTTGTCCTCGCATCTTGAATCTGGAGCCTGTTCTAGCAACCAGGAGCTGCCTCTGGATTAAAGACTTAAGATGCTGGAAAGAGTTATTTGCCAAAGCTTTATTGTTAAATCTTCAATCCCACCTTGCCTTCAACGTGCATGTAAGTAGTAAAATTATTGAACACCTTCAACATGCGCAAGGCTGTGATGTTATGTTCATACTTGGAAAACATATGTGCTAATCATACAGCGGTTTCTCTTGGAGAAGCTATTCTTCCTAGGTCTATCTAATGACGCGATGTAAGAGCTTTCTAATTTTGTTAATCACACATGGCTGCGGCTGTGTGTGTTCTGAAAAGCTTCACACATACCAGCGGTAAGGATCGCTGCATGACCTGGTCTAGGGAAGCAGTGTGATCGAACTTTCGTCTGTTTGATGCAAGACCACGTTCAGTGCAGCAATAGGGCCATTTCAGACGCTTTACGTTGGAGTGAAAACCTTCAAGGCCATGCGAAGTAGGTCGTGTTGGTATCAGAAGCTTTAAGGCTGCACCAGTTCGGCTGTCGAGAGATCACACTGCAGTTAGGTAAGATGGCTCGGTATGGATTTGATGGCTTTGCAAAATAGCCACCCTGGCAGGGAACAGAAAGGTTAGGGCCTTGTGATGAAAACATGGCTGGATAGCCAAAAAGAAACCGATTGGATAGTATCTGGTCACGGGCTGAAACATGGCATGCAATATTGTGGCTGGTACATGAGTGACAAATTGTCGGTGGCTTAAGTCTATATCTATTGAAGTTTGAAGAGAACTCCTATCGAACATGCAACTTCTACTGGGGTTCTTTTGGCTTCTAAATCGGCATTTCTATGTGTTCTCGTTTTATTCATACGGCTGGATTCTAGTCAAGTAGCTGTTGAAATTGGCACATTCAGGGCAAAAATATTTTGAGAGAGTAAGGGTCTGTGTGTGTGAGTGTTGCAGACCCTTGTTTTAAGCTAAGCACGGTGCATGTCCAGTTTATCATGTATGTAAGGTACTCTAGTTTATATCTGAACTCTTGTAGCGTTTATTGCATCTATGGATGTATCAACTTATTAAAGAGAACCCCTTCATCTTTTAGCCGTATGTCCCGTCATACCTCTTCAAGACACTGCTGTATTTCGTCATACCTGTCCTCCAGTTCTTAAATACATGCTGCTGAGCGTTGCAGAAACAAGACAAGTCTTGTTATATACAATTTGTGTAGGGTTGCAGAAACTCTGTGTGGTATCTTGACACCTGCAGAGGAATTAAATACCCTTGTGTTGGGCGATGGCAGCCATACATGGCCAACCATCAAATAGTTTTCTTTTTTGGTGAAAAAAGTGAAAAACAAGCAACATAAAAGCACATGAAAATGCACAAACAAAGCAAAAAAAAAGCAAACAGCAAAAACAAAACAAAAAAAAAAGCAAATAACAACGCAAAAACAAAGCGCAATAATAGGCAAAAAAAGAAAAAAAAGCAAACAAAAAAGCAAAAACATGTAGCTGTGCGTATTTGTCGTGTTTTTTCACTTTTGGTTCGCTTTATTTTCGCTTTTTTTTCGCTTTATTTTCGCATTTTTTTGCTTATTTGTTTCGCATTTGTTTCGCTTTTTTATTTTTTCGCTTTTTTCCTAGGAGGGTACAGCAAATATTGCTGACGGGTAAAAGTTCTCATAAGTGCAGAAGTGGTACCAGGAAAAAAGCAAAAAACAAAAGCAAAACAAATGCAAAAATAAAGCGGAAAACATGCGAAAATAAAGCGAAACAAAAGTGAAAAAAGCGACAAATACGCACAGCTACATTTTTTTGCTTTGTTTTTGCTTTATAAAACTATTTTGGCTCCTTGTATCTATGGCTGGCGTGCCTGACACAAAAATACCCGAGGCATCGGATCGGTCAGGTATGACCATGTTCTGAGTCAGAAAGGCCTTCTGTCAGAAGGGTGCAACCGTCAAGTCCGTAGTGATGGCAATGAAGTCTCAAGACGAACACGTCGAACAGGTCGAACACGTTGTTTTTTGAGATGAACGAGACGGAAAGATGGAAAGACTCTTGCATGTTCCTTGCCGTCCCATGGTTCACCTATACGGACCGCAGTCCAAGAGAACTGATGAGGTAATTGCTAACGAAGACCGATCCTTCCATTCAATGCTTGAATCTGGATTTAGAACCAGTTGTATCATTGTATCTGAAGAGAGAGAGAGAGAGGAAACAAATACCACTGGCGGATATAATTACACCACCCAGTTTGGGTGGTGTATAGAACTCCCTGAAAATGTATCTTCTATCAAGAACCACCCAGTTGCTAGGTAGTGCAGCAGTATGAACTCCTTTTGCACCAACCAAAAACTTGCTGTTCCAGGCCCTTGTGGCGGTCCGCTCGCGCGTGTTCGGTTGTTCCGAGCTGTTCGAAGACCGGTCCGCTCCAGCTTCCTCCAGCGATGCTCGGTGTTTTCGCACTCCGACTGGTCCACTTGGACCCCCGGTCGCACCCGTTGCAGGCGGCCAAGCCAGAGGTCTATGTGAGCCACTACGAAAGGATTACTGGAAGCTCCGCCGGTTTCAATCAAACCATCAAGGAGATTGGGGGGACGCGCCGGGCGCTGGGTTCTTCGGTGCGAAACATGACCGCGGATGACCGCGGTCTGTGGCGTGGTTCTGGGCGGGTGGTGGGGTGTAAATGATGGGTTTAGAGATGCATGTGTTTTTGGGGAAGTCGCTCTCAGAGACTGAGGGTTGAAATCTCATCAAGACTTCAATTCGAAGCTCAACCACAGTAGCTTGGAAGATCGCCCCCTGTGAAGTGCCAACGCGATCGGCTCCCCGAGCGGGTCTGGTTCCGCCCGTGAACCGCGCCGGAAAGCAATTCCAGATTGGACCTACTATGGAGTAAAGCAATAGATATAGCAATTGCCTGGTGGTTTTCGTGAAATTGGGTGACATTTGGGGCCATATCATGCTTATCCCTAGGGCTCCAACCATATCCTCAGAAGGTGGTTAAACCCCCCTGGCACCCACCCTAACCACCTTCACCGAAACGGAGGTAGGCCAGGAGCCCGTGGTCGCACGCATTTGGGAATGGCTTCGAAGACCCATCTCTGGTCAGGTCGACCACGTCAGTCGCGTCTTCGCTGCACACGTTGGACCCCCTGTAAAGGTGTGGATCCCCTGCATTTGGGGGAAAGCCTGCGTGCTGTGCAGACTTTGGGGAGTGCAGACTTTCACCCACACGTGGAGGGGATCAGCGAAGCTTCGCTTCACCTGTTGGTCGAGTCTGTCGAGTCAGACCAGATGACAGTGTTTCGCCTGAAGTCTAGACACATAGACCTGGTGGCGGGGAATAGAAGAGAGTAGAAGAACACCTTTCAGTCATTGCTACATCAAGAACACCTTGCTACATCTCACCTCATGTGCCAGTTCTGAAGCTTCAACTGGTGCGCGACGCGCTGCGATGCGATGCGAAATCGCCTATCCCATGCGATGCGATGCTGGACCCGAACGTTCGCCTATCCCAGTTGGGTACCCCAGGTGACGGTCCTGTCCCGGTCACTGGCTACCTCGGCTACCTCTCTTGGTGCGAAATCACCAGGAGATCTTGGACTTCCTCTGGGGTGATGAGATCTCCCACGACCTGAAGCAACGAGCCTTGGACGCCACGGTGCACGAGGACTTGCCACTTGGACCGGAGGTAGAGCGGTGGTACGGGACGAGCACTCGGAGAGCACCAGGGAGCTGCGAAAAAGATGAGTGAGTTTGGTGAGTTTGGTGTCAGATTCCTTGCAATCACGCAGGTTTTGAAGCCGAATCAGACTTCGTCACTGATGAGTGTTGCTTCTGGGGGAAAGCTTTACCTGAAGAAAAGACCAAAGGTGTAAAGACTATCCAAAGCTCGCTGCACAAGTGGTTTTTCTTGGTCAGCATGACTGGAAATGGCAGTGGTTAGGAGTTTTGGAGATGCAATTGAAATGTCTTCCTGCATGAAGGTTGCATGATCTCAGAAGGGTTTGCTCATACAAGTCGTGTTTTCAGTGAGAGGTCCTTTCTCCGGTGGAGCACGAAGTCGCGAAGCTCAAGCTCTGCTCCAAGCAGCTAGGGTGGATGTTCTAGAAGTCACTTCATTGGGTGTGTATGTCATTGTATGTCAATAAGACACAGAACCAAGACCCATGACCCAGGAGTCACAAAGGGGTGGTGTTTACTCCCTAAGTGAGTGGATAATAGGCACCCGTAACCTCCATGGATAGCACCCCTTTGTGACTGCTGGATGAAGCTTCTTCCGTTTGGTTTCCAAAGGGGTGCACGTAGAAAACGACGGTTGTGTTCGCCACCTATAGCCAAGGTCTCAAGAAAAGCTGGAGAATAAAGCCAACCAAAAGGCAAAACCAAAGGGAAATAAACAGAAAATGTTTGCAGATAAGCAACAAAAAAAAACAGCACAACAAAGAGCAAAGAAGAACAAAAAGCAACAACTGGAACTCCAAATCACCTGATCTGCAAACAGATCAGACGTTTCTATTTTCCAAAACCGGTGAAATCCTCACTGGTACACCTCAAAGTCAGCTGGCTTCCGCTTCCGCCGTCGTTTCAGGCACCGTGGGGAAGAGGGCTTCTCCTTTCATGTTGGGATCCTCAGAGGGTCACTTAACACCTTTCCTCGACGGCACCGTGACCCGCGCCAGGACCGAAGGACCGTGAAGACCGGTGACCGGACAAAAGAGAACGCCCGGTTCAACCACGAGACGGAGACGCGCGACATGGGAGTCTCACCAAAGAATCATCAGGTCGCGCTAATCAAGAACAATCACACCCGTTCGACTTCCGTTCGACCCGACATGGGAACGACCTGGTTTTTCGTAAAAATCCGTCGTTGATTCGGTCAAGCCTAGGGGAACATGATTGCTTTCGGGGTGTTGGACGGCGACCGGAACTCATGTTTTACGTGAGTTCACAGCCCTTTCCTGGTCCCGAACCAAACCATAGCCCAGACACTCCATGTATGCCATATATGCCTACATTGACCCCTCAAACCACCCGAATGTAGGCATATATGGCAGTCCCATGGAGTGTCTGGGATAGGGATTGCTGAGGCCCACCCCTGACCCGAGAAGTCGGGTCCCGGGTCGCGTTTGGGCGGCTGTGATGCGAGCAGAGGTCTGAACAAGTCTGAACACCTACACACACTCCCGAAAACTAACATGGACCCTAACGTCCTGGCCCCCTGGAAGAGTGTTTTCCTCTACCAACCAGTGGTTTTCAGGCACCCATGTTAGTCTTTGAGGGTGTAAATAAAACCTTCTAAGAGAGGTTCAGGGACCTAGTCTACCAGCACCGAACCCAACAGGTCTCCGTTGCATGGAGGGTTGGGTGGGTGTTAGGCCCTGTTGCAGGTTTCAATTGGTGACCTGGTTTCAGTCGGTGCTGGTATAGGATAACATGAAGGCTGAGTCCAACCTTGCTTGGTCCGCTTCGTCGAAGCGTCCGTAGCGGGAAAGGCATCGTTCCACTCACCTTTCCACCTCTCCTAGGACCTTCCCACCTCTTCAGGATTGGTAAGTGACCCTTTCAAGGCCGTTTCGTGACCTCAGCCACTGGGATCTCAAAAGGTCACTTGGAAGGTCCTGGTCACTCAGATCTTTTTGGGGTTCTTGGCAGAGACGGATCGTTCTTTCAGACGTGCCCCTGGACCCTCCGCAACCCGGCGCCGGCACCCGTTCCTCCATCCGAATCCTAACTGGTCAGGGGTCCGGACCCGAACCAATCGCTATGGTTTTGAGGGACGAGGAAAGGGCTGTGAACGAACAAACGAGCGTTCCTTCGTGTGTCTTACCCAGACGCTCCGTGAAAACAGCCCTTTCCTGGTCCCTCAAAACCATAGGGATTGGTGAGAAACCCCAGACCCCTCCATATGAGGGTCCAGGAGCGTCTGGGTGTGTCTTCAGCGGCGTTTTTGGGGACCCCGCCGACTCGACGCTCCCGTCGACCCGGCTTGGGAGAGGCTCATGTGTTACCCAAAGACCATGTCATGAGTCATGGGACTGGAAAATATGCCGCCCAAGTCCTGACCCTGGAAAACACCCCCCTATACCCAGAGACAACCCTAGACCCGAACCTGCTATGAGGCTTCAAGGAGCCTTGGAGAATGCAAAGATGCCAGTCCCAGACGTGTTTGGGATATGCCAGTCCCGTGCCAGTCCCGCTGGTTTGAGGGGTCAATGGGGCGGCAGTCCGGACTGGCAGTCCCAGACAGGTCGTGTCGAGTGTTGAATCGTGCGCTGAATCGACATGAATCGCTTTCGACCCTCGTCGATCTCGCACGCGTCTCGACGCGGATCGACGCCGGCGCCGTCGCGTCGCCCAGGTGGACGGCACAGCGGATGGTAAGATGGGGAATGACGGGGTCAACCACACGAGCTACTTGGAGCTGTTGGAGATCGTGGCAGAGGGTGTTTTCGTGCGAACCAAATGCACCGGCCCAGACGCTCCAAACAGCTCTTGGTCCCTCAAAACCCTAGGGATTTGAGGGTCCAGATCCGTACTTAGGAGGGTCCGGCCCCTACTTAGGAGGGTCCATGAGCGTCTGGGGGATTTAATTTGGGGACGTTGATCACCTGGAAAAAGAGAGAACCCCTTCTTTGCGGGAATTGGTTTCTCCCAGACGCGACCTGGACCCGAATCCTTTGGAGAACGTGATGCTGGAGGATTTCCCCACGCCGGAGTGTCCCGAATGGCACCGTTTTGGTGCCGAAATGGGCGCCGCGTCGTGAAGAAGCAATGAAGAAGCAAGACCCAGGAGTCACAAAGGGGTGGTGTTTAGTCCCCAAGTGAGTATAGTGAGTGGATAATGGGCACCCCTATCCTCCAATAGGCACCCCTTTGTGACTGCTGGACTGAGCAAATCCCATCAATAAAAAGAAAGATCTCGTCCCCAATCACATCGTCGGCAACAGGGAGTCCCTCTCCCACGAGAAGGACCCAAAAAGCCCGAGACATGGAAAACGGTCGATGGTTTCATACCTGGATCTTCCAACTGTGCAGAATTTCTGCCTTTTCATCCATTAAATCAAAGTCATAAATGTTGCACAGTTGGAAGATCTAGGTATTCTTTTCCCTAGGCTTCCCGGCCAACCCTGGATTTCATGCTTGGAATCCCCTTCTCCACCATGGGTCTCCCGCACGTGGACGACCAAGGTGTGAGAGACCACACCACCATTGGTTTTTACCAGACGGAACTTACACGAGGACAACAGGTCGACCACCCAGACGCTCCGTGAGTTCGCAGCCAGCACACCCATGGGGACTGGTGAGGCCCACCCCAGACCCCTGACCAGTTCGGATTCGGGCGCGACCCCTGCTGTCCGGATTCTGTGCATGTCTTTTAAAGGTCGACCGGAAGGCGACCGGGTTGACTCGGGATTGAAGAAAGGGAGAACTCCGCCACTCCAGTGGTGTTCAAGGCTCGCTTTCTCCATCCACACATGGCTCCTGTCGTTTAGAAGGTGCTTTTGATCGCTTCCCAAGGTGTTTTTGTGTTCCTGTCGGGCTATTGGTTCCCGCACCTTCTAAGACCCTTGAGGTGATGAGCAAGAACTGGACGAAGCCCGTGCACACTTGTCGCTGCTAGACCAGGACGGCCCGGCCGCCCCCGCCGCGGCTGCAGCCGGCACGAAGAAACCACCCTGATGTCCGCCTTCTTCACCCTCTCAAGAGGGCTTACACTGCGGAGGATGAGCACCAGCAGTGTGCAGACCCTTGCCTGGGTTTTCCCTTCTAACTTATATAGTCATACCAACCTCTATCTTCCAACTGTGCAAAGTTTCTGCCTGTTCATATATTGATAAAACCCAGCCAAGTCAGGCAGAAATGTTGCATAGTTGGAAGATCCAGGTATGTGGGGACGATCCAGCATTGCTGGCTGGGTCACTGTATGGTGCTGAACTCCCCTATGACACCTTGCGTCCAGGTTGACATGCACAGTACAGGTCGAGGGGGCTGTGCATGCAGTGCCTTTGGTTCCTGGTAGGAATCTGCCTGTTTTGTACCTGTTTTGGTACTTGCGTCTGGAGTGATGGAGTCTGTTCGCGGTTTGTTGTGATCTCGGTGAGGCGATGGAGTTTGCAGTTCACGTGATGTTTCGGCTTGTGACGCGTATACACTTAATTCTCATCTTCCTTCAGCCTTTTTTCAGCTTGCTACATTTCATTCATAGAGATCAGCACCAGGCGCAATTCGTACGAGAGCCTAGAGAATGCGCTAGCAAGAAACAGATGTCGCACTTCCCAGAATTGGCTTCTTTCGGACACATCTGCAGGGCGCCCATACCTGGAACCCCAGTCTCAACCAGAAACAATGGGATGTTCCAATATATATGGCAATTAAGGTCATACACAGCAAGTGCTTGGGACGGATTTTATTTGGCTGGGGCGGCTCCGTTCGTGTCCAGTCGACTCTGTCCTGTCGACTCGAGTTCGACTTCCAGCACTCGACGTCGTCCTGGTGATTCCTGGTGACAACCAACAGGGGTTAAGTGACCTGAACTAGGACCCGTAACCAGGAGTACCTATATAGGATAGTGCATGTAATTGGGTTCAACCTCTGTTGGCATGTCCATCGATGTTCTTGGACTTCCGATCGGGCTCGATTTCGGTCAAAACAACAGGTCCTCCAACGGCACCAGATCGGGGGATCTCGTCGATCGACGGCAGCAGACATCTCGAGTACTGTCGCCGCGTTTTCGCACTAAGAGAAGCTGCCCAGACGCGATCCTGGACCCGAATCCTTTGGAGGGGTCGGACCCGAATCCGAACTGGTCAGGGGTTTGGTGTCTCAAAACTCTGTAACTCTATGGTTTTGAGGGACCAGGAAAGGGCTGTTTTCACGGAGCATTTGGGTGAGAGATGATTCACCCCCAGTCCATCGATGTATCGATGTGAAACTGGTTTTCCGGCTTCAGCATACATGCGAGACCCAAACACTCCGTCGGCTTCGAGGCCGTGCGACACTCTACCGTCGGCCGGTTGACTCGGTTGACTCACCGTGCGGACAGGTTGGTTCAATCCAAATTTTTGGGGTGATTCCACCATCGCGCACGAGTTCTGAGAGACGAGCGCCACCACACCCTCTCCGGAGTCCAGCGATTGGGTGAACAAGAAGGGAATGTATCGAATTATTGCACCGGAAGCACCATATCCCATTCGGGGGGGGGTGATTCATCAAGAGTCAATATATCCCAGATCCATGCATTGATATGGCTTGAAAGACGCATCTAAAGATTCTCAGAAGTGTCCCAGAATTTGTGCATTGATAGAATGATGGCTGCTGACCCTAAGCTTCTGAGCTTGCTGATGACCGTTGGACCCAGAAAGAAAACAGATCGTTCTCGATCGGTTTTGTCTCCTTTTTGACCGTCAACAGACGTTTCTCTTCTCATTCGAGAAGAAGAACCACCTGTTGAATCTTCACACCCCCCAAACAGCTCGAGCTGCTTTCGCCCGAATCCTTGAAGCACGAAAGATGTGTGCTCGGCGACTAGCTGCTCGCGCATCAGGACGTAATGGAGGAGTACAAGCGCTTCCAGCAGATCCTGGGCTATGCCCCAGGCATCCCAACGAAGTAGCCTTCCGATGTGGTCCGTTCGGCGGCGGGGTGCCCGGCCCCCGCGCCCGCGAGACGAAAAAGGACACGAAGGGTGTGTGTGTCAAGCAGCAAGCGACGACGGGCCGGGTTGCCAGTCTCTAGGTAGTGAAAGAGAGATCACCATGGTGTTTGGTGAGGGTATCACTCTGTGTGGTGGCCCAACCTGAAACCGTGCAGAGTACTAGTACATGGTCCATGGTCATACATATAGCGCAAATTCCAAGTGCGGGTGCTTCATCACCTTAAGCGGTTGACATGTTTGTGCCATCCATTCTGAACCTACTGTCACCCAGTCTGTTTGTACCCACGAGTCATCAGAAATTGGATCCCCTGGAGAACATCGTGCGCAATCCCGTCGATTGCTTTGGATTGACGCTTGGATGCCCGGTGTCCCGAATCGAAATTGGTGGGGTTCCCTTCACCAACAGAGGTTGAAGGACCCGGACTATAGTGGGGGAGCCAAAGGATAGCCTATATAGGGTTTTTCAACCTCTGTTGGCATGGCTAGCTTCGGCGACGTGGGCCCTTCAATGGCCTTTCGATCTGCCGGCATTCGGGAAGATATGGATTGGACCGGGCTGGGAGCGCAGGTTCCTTTGGTTCGCAGATCGCGGAATGGGTCGTTTTGCGCGGGAGGATTGGACCCTGGATCTTCCAACTATACCTGGATCCTCCAACTATGTTTGCCTAACTTGGCTGGTTGTGTGGATGAAAAGGCTGAACTTCTGCGCAGTTGGAAGATCCACATTGGACCCTGAAAACACCCACATGTATGCAAATATGGCAGTCCCATGTGTGGTGTTTGGGTTAAAATGCCAAGCCCTTCGTCAGTCTCCAACTGGTTTCTCTATGTTTCTCCCACATAAGGTCCGACCCTGTGAGATGGCACGTGCCATAGACCAGGGGCCGGCTGAAAGAAAAACACTATCTATATGGATGTGTGCGACTGACCCTGAAATGACCCCCGTATACCAGCATGCACTTGCCATGCACGTCTACGTCTCGTGTGGTCGGCGTCTACGTCGTTCTTCGTTCTTTTCATCCACGTGGCTTCGGAAGACTGCACTAGAACACATCGATTGATCCCAGCTTCTTTTCATACTCCCCTAAGAATCCGGGCCCTCAAATAGATAGGGTTTGGTTCGGCCCCGGACCCCTGCCAGCTTCTTTTCATACTTCATGACTGATCATCAAAGTCCCTGCATCTTCCAACTGTGCAGAATTTCTGCCTTTTCATCCATAAAAACCAGCTTAAAAGGCAGAAATGTGGCATAGTTAGAAGATCCAGGTCAATGGGTTTGACAAGATCGAGTCCCTCTGGCGCCGAAAATTTCGTGTGCCGAGAACCCCCCCCGGTCGAGAGGCTGCGCGCTCTCGCGCGCGCAGCCCACGCGTCGACCTCGATTCTATTCATGGAAGACTCAGCTGGGCTCAAAGGATCCAGAGTTCAGGCAGACCCGTAGAGCAAACTCACTCTACCTTTCCATCCCCATCCATCATGATGATGCTCAGAAAAGCTCAGCACGGGCGCGCGAACGGTGGGTTTTGGGCTCACCGTGGGTCGAGTTGCCCCCGGGGACCCGAAGAGGTGGACGCGTTGGAGCGAACGTCCTACAGGAGGGTACTTGGAGGAACCTCCAGGGTCTCCGGTCTCCGTGGCATGGAGGGTTGGGTGGGTGGGTGTTAGGCCCTGTTGCAGGTGTCAATGGGTGATCGGTCTTGGTGACCTGGTTGGCCGCCGGGTGCTGGTACAGGGAAACCCCATCAATTTTTGGGGGAGAAAACCATGGGTGTCCTGTAGATGTTCCCAGGGACAGGGTGGCGGTGCCGGACGCTGGTGCGGGTTGTGGTGCTGGTGCTGGGTGCTGTCAAAAATTGCTCAACCGTGCAAGTGCTTGTGCGCCGAAGTCTGTCTAGGACAACGTGCCTGGGCCAGCGTCGCTGAGGAGGAAATGAAGAGACATGTATATGACCCACCAGTTATCTGAGCGAAACCGGGTCGCGTCCGTGACAGTGAAATGATAACAGCCGCCGCTTCTGACAATGAAGGGTGACAAACCGCCGCTTGTAGCAATGAAGGGCGACCAACCGCCGCTTCTGACAGTGAAGTGTCAGCAGTCAGGGGCCGCGTGAATTTATGCACGCAACATCATGTGGCGTTGTCGCTTGAACGTTCTTTATCTATTAGCGTTGTGGGGTATTTTACTCTTCAGGTTCTGTTTTGGCCGATAGCTGTGTCAAGGGCTGTATTGTTTGCACGCATACTTTGTACGTAAAATATTCTATGCGTAACGTCAGGCTCTCAACCGACCGTTATTTCAGCATATTTCAGCATGCTACACACATTCAATTGCTTGGCCTTGGGCAAGTGAAGCCTACGGGCTTTGCCGTTCATGCGCAAACTTTCGTGCGCATAAACTTATGCGCGCAAAATCACACGGCCTTATCGTTCTACAGGTCGTTGCTTCAAGCATGCTACAAAGTCAAAAGTGGCGCTGGATACTGCTTGATTTTGGGTCAATGACACTTACACGCTTTGCTGTTTGCGCGCATACTTTTGTGCACAAAAATATATATGCGCAAGATCATACGTTGTTATTCGCCAGACAGATATAGCTATGGGGTTCTTATTCCAAATAAGAATGAATTGGCTGCGCGCGCTTTCGAAAGGGTGTCGGTGCTGGTGCTGGTGTTGTGGTCCTGGCGCTGGTGTTGTGAGCTAGCTGGACGTTTAAGACGGGCGGCGGCATTGGTCGAGTGCTGGCGCAGCTACTGGTGTTGTAAGCTGGCAAAGCGAACCGGCGTTGGTGTCAGCTGGTTGTGCGCGCTGTGGAGGTGCCGTAAGCTGGCTGCGCAGCCTGCATAAATTCTTGTTCCAGCTAGTTGCATATCAATAGGTCGTGGGATTCTGCCTAGCTATTTGGGTCTATGGGGAGATAAATTTAATATTTTTTGATATTAGATATTTTTTAATATTTATATAAATCTATAATAAACCTATATTTTCCTAACAAATATATGACACATTAATTTAACAAATCTAAATATTAAAGAATATCCGTTTTTAAAAGTAACGAAAAATTAATTAAAGGAAGGGAAAATTAATATATTATATATTGTTTTTGTATTTTGTTTAATCATTTACTTATTTTGAATTTTATGAAATGCGAAAGAATTGATGATTATTATTGGTTGTTTGTTATTTGCGATTTGTTTTATGTTGTTTGTTGTAGATTATTGGTTCTTGATGATTATGGGGTGTTGTTTGTTGTTGGTTGTATATTGTTGTTTGTTGTTGTTCGTTGGCGTTTTGTTATATATTGTTTGTTGTATGTGGTCGTTATTTGTTGTTGTTGGTTATTGATTGTTGATTATTGTTTTTTTATTTATTTTTTGTTGGTTGTTTGTTGTTGTTTATTAGTGTTTTGTTATTTGTTATTATTGATTGATATGATATTATTATTACGAAAGATAGTTTTTAAGGGGATATTTAAATTTATTTTGCGTAGCAAATGTTGGAATTTCCGGTTATAGAAATTGATCGTTTAATTTAGATCTTCCCTCTTTTTCGAATTGATTTTTTAAAATAAATATCCCCCTTCCACTTTTTTGGAATTGATTTTTTAATATAGATTTTTACCTCTTTTTTTTTAAATTAATTTTCTCTTGGAGAATATTTTTATGATTTTTTTGTAATTTTAGGATAATTGAAGCCTTTTTGAATATTTAAAAAAAAATGAATATGAAATTTAATTGCGAAAGGTGTTGTTTGAGGAGATATATATTTAGAGATTATTTTG